GTAGTAGTGCTGCTTGAGGTGCTACTGCTACTCGTAGTAGTACTACTGGTGGTACTGCTGCTACTCGTTGTAGTACTAGTCGTGGTAGTAGTAGTTGTAGTGGTACTGGTGGTAGTAGTAGTAGTGCTACTTGTGGTGCTGGTGGTGGTAGTAGTCGTACTCGTAGTACTGCTACTGCTTGTAGTACTCCTACTTGTGGTACTGGTTGTGGTGGTAGTGGTACTTGTAGTACTGCTACTGCTTGTAGTCTTACTGGTGGTGGTAGTAGTAGTGCTAGTTGTGGTACTACTGCTACTGCTCGTAGTAGTAGTGGTGGTGGTGGTCGGTATTGCTAAAATATAAAACAATTGTGTTTTACTAAGTCAAATTAGAGGGAAGTTGTATTAAAAACATTAATATGAGATCAAATAATTCAAGCAACATTTCATTTCATTTCATTTTTATCAACTTTTCAAATGATAGTCACGGAAAACTAACTATCAAATACAACTTCATAATGTACTATTATATACAGATAACTTACGGCAGCTATTATTTTGAAGAGCGAATTGTTGCACTCGACTATTATTTCGATCAGTAACATATATATTTCCATAACTATCAAAAGCCATACTTTGTGGAAAAGATAATTGAGAAGCAGATGAACCACCTCCGGAACATCCTACTATACATCTAAAGCCAGTAGAACTTGAAGCAATAATACGATGGTTATAACTATCAACAATAAATAAATAACCATTAGCATCAAGGACAATTCCAGTTGGATAGTTAAGTATAAAATTTGTTGATGATCCATTACCAGCTATTGCCACGCCATTTAATTGACCAGTTTGAACGAATTGAATACGATTGTTAACACTGTCTGCAATATATAGGTTTAGATTACTATCAACATAGATTCCTTGTGGAGAATTAAGCATATTTGATAGTGATCCAGCAGAACCATTACCGGCTGCAATTGTCGGAATGGTTGTCCCATTATTAAGTAAGAGTTTAACAACTTGATGAAGATTTTTAAGTGAACAATAAAGATTATTATTAATATCAATAAATAAACCATAACAACTTCCATTAACATTCATAACAGTTACACGATTTGATGTATTAAATATATATTTATCAACTCGACCATATGCATAACCATTATCAATATAAATATCACCATTAATAGACATAAAAAGACTATATGGATTACTTAAATTACTATAACTATTACTTGTTGGTGTAGTACTCCATTGAGGCCATGTTAGAATAGTGTTACTAATTCGATTAGGTACATACACAGTATTAATTCCATCAATAAAAATACCATAAGGTAATAAACCAGCAATGGAACTTGAGGCTAAAGTTACGGCATTTACAGACCATGATGCACTTGAACAAAACGTTGGTTGATTATACGACAAACCTAGAATAGATAAATAAATCAATTTATTACATTCGAAGAAGAGAACAATAACTTACTACATGAATTAGATGCTATAATGAACTTTTGCACTCGATTATTATCTCCATCAGAAACAAAAAGATTTCCATAACTATCGAAACCAAAAGTTAATGGGAAATTCAATTGATTTGATGAAGAACCAGCAGTAGTTGTACATCCAAATAAACATCGAAAACCATATGGTCCTGATCCTACAACTCGATTACTATGACAGTCAACAAGGAACATATAATTATTAGCATCAAAAGTAATAGCGTGTGGACAATTAAGTGTGATGGTTCCTGTTGCACCACTTCCAGCTTTAGTGATTCCAATTAATTGTCCTGGGGCGAACATTTGAACGCGATTGTTACTACAGTCTGTAACATATACATTAAATTGTACATCAACAAAGAGTCCAGAAGGTAAATTAAGCTGATTTGCAGCTGAACCTGCAGAACCTGTACCAGCTACTAAAGTAAAAGTAGTCCCATTATCGTTTAACCATTTTTTCACAACTTGATGGCTCCAAGTTATTGAACAATAAAGAGTATTACTAATATCGATGAAAAATCCTTCACAAGGGTTAGTAACTGTCATCACATTAACACTACTATTAGCATTTACGGCCCATTTATCAACTCGGCCATTACTTAAACCATTGTCAATATATACATCACCATAAAGTGTCGCATAGACATACATTGGACCATTCAAACCAACGGTTATGTTTCTATTAGGAATGATACTTCCTTCAAGAAACACATAAATTGCACTGCTGGGTCGATTGGCAATGTAAACAGTGTTATTAATACTGACAAAAATACCGAAAATATTCGAACCGGCTATATTACTGCTAGCGAATGTAATAGCATCTGTATACCAAGTTGTAGATGGACAAAAGTTTGGTTGATTAAAAGAAAGAGCTATAAACAAAGAATATATTAGATTAAAATCTACATTTTAAAATCTATCAGAAATATATGAAACGTTTATGAAAAATTCTTTGTTTTATACAACTTCGTATCAAATAGTTTTCAATGAAATAATAATAATAATGATATAGAACGACTATAATTGATAATGTTTACGTTGAATATGACTCAACTCAACTCGATATGATATGGTCGTAACGTTAAAACGGATCATACTACTGATATAAAAAATCGTACTAGTTCGTAATCTAATATAAAGTAAAGGCTATAACTTTTTGGAAACTATTGATCTATTACAGGAAATTAAAAAGTATACATTTTTGACAATAAATTTAAATAATAACTTCATTAACTGTAGCTCGATATCTAAGTTATGTTCTACTCTAAAAGATACTTACGATAGGTAGTATTTGGTATTGCCATAAACTTTTGTACTCGATTATTACTACCTTGATCAGTAACATATATATTTCCATAACTATCAAAACTAAAAGTTGACGGATTACTTAATTGATTGGATGCTGAACCACTGGTAGATGTACATGCAATTATACATCGAAAGCCATTAGGTCCTGAACCAATAATACGATTATTATTACTGTCTACAATAAAAAGATATCCATCATTATCAAGTGCAACATCACTAGGGCAATCAAGTGAGATAGTTCCAGTAGCTGTACTTCCTGCTACTGTCGTTGCTGTTACTTGTCCAGATAAAAATAATTGCACACGATCGTTTCCACAATCAGCAACATATAAATTGAGATTTGTATCAACAAAGATTCCACGAGGATTATTAAGTGTATTCGAAGCTGATCCAGAACATTCTGTACCAGCAGCAACGATCCACATACTTGAATTACCATTCAATGATTTTATAGCAACTTGATGTTGAGTATACAATGAACAGTAAAGAGTATTATTAACATCAATAAAAAGATCATAGCATGCACCTTGAACCTGCATTACTGAACTACTTATATTTCGGTTTGATACCCATTTATCGACTCGATTATTTGTATATCCATTATCGACATAAATATCACCATTAATTGTAGCTAAGATACTATATGGAGAAGTAACACCACTGGTAATATTTCTTGTGGGTATACTACTTCCTGATAACCATACTTGAATTTGATTGCTTGCTTTATTGGCGACGTAAACTGTATTATTAGTATCTACGAAAATTCCATATGGACTCGTGCCAACTGTGCTACTAGTTGCAAAAGTAATTCCGATACTATCCCAAGCAGCATAGGCGCCAAATTTTGGTTGATTGAATGATATAACTAAAATAATATTAATATTATTTTTATTCTGTTATGTACAAATTACAGAATTGTTGAGAGCGGGTATGCATGTGTGTGTGTATGGTGGAATATCAAACAGCGATACCCACATTCTCAGCTAAAAAATATTCATATGCTCTGAATTCTCAAGTAGTTCGTGGTAAAACTTGTACTATGCAGTAAGGCCTACTTAGAACGAGAAACATTTATAACAAACTATCTTAATATTGTTTTTTTTTCGAATTATGATTATTTTATTATACTTCTGACCTATAGAACTAGATGCTTTAGAAAATATATAATGCTACTATTTTCATCTCTTATGTACTAGATCAGAACTTAGTAAAATGTTTATAAGCTTACAAAGAAAATGGTAAGAAAACAAATTGTAACAAGTTTTGAGTACTCTCTGTTCGTTCTTTTGGTTCGTATTACCAGTAAAACAATGTATGAAATTAATGTTCATATTAGCATGTAATAATAAGTATATTTCTGATTAAATACTAGTAAAACTCAATTCTTTCCAACTGAAATATTTTTCAATCAGAAGTCAGGATGAAAAAGTCCGTGTAAGAGAATTATTCACATCGTTGAGAATAGCGCCTTAATTAGTCATTCTAAATTATTTACAATTCATTTCTTGTATCTAGACACCCATTGAAATAGTAAACTATCATATCTTCGTGCACATTCTAGTACGTGATAGCGAAGATGAATGTATTAAATACTCATTATCAGTTATTACATTACCATTAGAAGAAGACACGGATGTTGATGCAGTAGTCGTTTGAACGACGCTCGTCGTATTTGTTGCTATAAATAAAGAGTTTTTCAACAATATAGAAAAACAAAGAAAGAAAGACATATTTAACATACCATTAGTTGTTGCTGCGGTTGTATCTAAAACAAATAGAATTTCGTTTATTTTAGGTATTGAATAGGAACGTTTATCGTTATATATACTTATACTTACTGCAGACATTTGATGACAAAAGAATTTTTTGAATTCTATTATTATACTGATCGGTGACGAATATATTTCCATAACTATCAAAATTCATGCTTTGTGGAATATTTAATTGGCTGGACGATGAACCAGGTCCAGAACATGACATTATACATCGAAAACCGTTAGATCCTGAGCCAATAATGCGACTGTTGCCATTGTCAACAATAAAAACATATCCACCACCATCAAGTATAACTCCAGTTGGATGATAGAGTGTGATGGTTCCTGTTGATATTGTTGTACCATTCAATTGTCCTGATGCAAATTTTTGAATCCGACTGTTTCCCCAATCAGCTACATACAAATTCAAGTAAGTATCGACAAAGATTCCACATGGATTATTAAGTGTTGTCGATGTTGACCCAGCTGTATTACTTACACCGGCAACATTACTCCATACATTTAAATTTTGGGTCAATGATTTATAGATAACTTGATGATAAGAAAATATTGAGCAGTAAAGCATATTGTTAATATCCACAAAAATACCATAGCATATTGAACAAATATACATTGCTGGAACACTACTTGTCGTATTCCATGCCCATTTGTCAACTCGATAATTTGAGTAGGCATTACCGACATAAAGATCCCCATTGTCCGTAGCGAAGAGAGGATAAGGTGTAGTTAAACCACTTGAAATATTTCGAGTAGGTGTAGTACTTCCGTTAAGCCATATTAGAATCCTGCCATCCGTATAATCAGCTACATAGACAGTATTATTTGTATCGACAAAGATACCCAGAGGATATGTACCGACCAAGGCGCTTGTGGCAAAAGTCAGAGCCGTCTGATTCCATGTTGCATTCGCACAAAATGTTGGTAGATTGTACGAAATACCTGAAAAAAAAATATTAAAAATATAGTTACGACTGAGATAGTAATAATTATCTGAAATGCAAGCCGAGTATCTCACACTCGGACTCATAGTACTGAAGTTATGCTATTTGATTTACTAAATGATTCACCGTATTTCCTCTCATCTCTCCAAATAATAGAAAATTTCAAAACTTTCGGAGAGGACTTCTCTCAGATTGCACAATTAGGGATACAACGATGACGATCAGTGATCGCTCTACCAGCCCATCCGATTAAACGACTAAAAGAAAGCCGTTTGAAGTGAATTACTAGTGTAAATTGATATTTATCAATATTTAAAGAGATTCACCTATATTCACACCCTCAAGTGACTGCTTCAATTTAAAAAATTCTATAATAAAGTATTAAAATTTTAAGTAATATATTTTGACGCTTTATCTTACGAAAAACAAAGTTGAACTATATATATTAAGGTTGTGGATGTGAATGTCATATACATTACAAACTCACATCCAGTGATCGAGATTTCTTTCAACTAATACAGTTGAAGAGAATATATTTTAAAATCTTGATATTGGCCTCTCGGATCAATACTTCTAGTTAAAATGCGATAGAAAAATCTGGTACATGATCGAATTTTAGGTTTATATATATCCTATCTGGTTTAGTTATATGCACTAATAATCATACGTTGTGGCTCAATCGGGTAAACTCACTGCCATAAAACCTTGAATACTATTCTTGATAATTTTTGTAATTTCGCCTCGTTTAGGGATGTACCGAGCCCGAGAGGCTCGGTCAGGGCTCGGG